ACAGTGCACTTATTTGGGACTGGAACCTTGGGAATGGTTGAACATCCTAAAACCTCTAGTACAACCTTCTTTTGGCCCGTAACTCTATAACCTCAGAAGAAAGAGACTATTACTCTTGTACAGGTAACTATGAATACAAGTATTTCAATGCATAGATGCAAATCATCAGATCCAGTGCATTTTAAATAATAGCAATAGCCAATAGCACTTAGCTTCACAGTGCTTTACAGCTCTCTCTTAAGTTATTTACAGAATCAGCATATTGCCCCTAATAATCTGGGTCCTGTTTTACCAACCTCAGAAGAATGGAAGGCAGAGTCAACCTCAAGCAGGTGAAAATTAAACAGCTGGCAGTCAGCAGAATTAGGCAATACTGCATTCTAACCACTGCACCACCAAGGGGATGTAAATATTACTTTGCATTCCTCTGACAAGAAAAATCTAACAAGAAAAAATACAGTGGTGCTTAATGGTTTGTAATCTTTTTGAATTTTCAGTTTTCAGTATTTCTGCATGAATATAACCTAAAATGTGACCAGTTTGCCACACAAATAATAAAACTAGATACATATAGTCCTTGACTTACGTTTGTTTAGTGATCGTTCAAAGTTCAATGGCATTGAAAAAAGTGACTTATGACCGTTTTTCACACTGTTGTAGCGTCCCTGAAGTCATGTGATCAAAATGTGGACACTTGGATGCTGGTTCATATTTATGACAGTTGCAGTGTCCTGGGGTCATGTGATCACCTTTTGCAACCTTCTGACAAGCAAAGTCAATGGGGAAGCCAGATTCACTTAACAACAGTGCCACTAACTTAACAACTGCAATGATTCACTTAACAATTGGGGAAAGAAAGTGGATAAAATGGGCAAAACTTACTTAACAAAAGAAATTGTGGGGTCGATTGTGGTCGTAAGTTGAGTACTAACTGTAAGATAATCCTATTAAACAAATGTGTCAAAAACATTAGACTTGCTCATTTATTGATTGAAGAAAATGGTCCTGGAGAAAGGTAAATAATGAAATCCTTTCATAACAATGAAGTAGACTTTGTTTTCAAGTGACGGTATGTCTTGGAAGACATGAATATATTGTTTTTGCAGAAATGTTACAGTGACTTGAAATGTATTCTATTAATCAAAACTAAAATAGAGGGAGTTATCTCTAGCCAGAAATGTTTAATAGAAATATCTTGCAGTAAATGTACTGAAAAGTGTCACCAGTTTGAGAGCAGCTGAATAAATGGTATGAGCAAATATTCACACACCCGATCTTCATATCCACCAGCTCTGAGCTCCTGTCTTCCATAACAGAGTACACATTTAAGTTGAGAAAGCCATTCTGTGCCAATAGGTTCTGTTTTTCTTTAATTGTGGTTAATATCTAAAAGACAGCTAGTTTGTTATAGTGGTTAAGACAACAGGCTAAAAACCAGGAGTCTGTGAGTTCTAGTCCTGCTGATTTAGACATTAACTCTCTGAGTCTTAGCAAGAAGGCAATGGTAAACCACTTCCAAAGACTCCAAGAAAACTGCTGTGATTAGTCCATTGCCAAGAGTCAAGAATGACTCAAAATCACACGCACACAAAATCTAAACAACTAGCAGTCACAGTGAGTTGATGGCTTGAGAAATTTTAAATCAAATCCCCATTCAAATATGAAACTCACTGATAACCAGTCACTTTTTCTCAGCCTTTATTCATAAAATGATTGTGAAATAAATGCGGTAGATGGGTAAGAGAACCACACTTCACTTCACTGAGCATCTAGAGGAAAGCTGAAATAGATGCAATTACTAATAACCCAGGGCTGTCAAACTCCGTCCGCAGGCCGAATGCATCACCACTGGCCATGTCCATGCCTAGTTTAGCAAAGGGGGAAAAAGTCCTGATATGTCATGTGATGACACTGTGACGCTGTGAGTTTGATACCCCTGTAATAACCAAATCACACCTCCTAGTTTAGGGACATCTTAATCTTAGAGGGATGAGTTGATTGTAGAAGTCAGATGTTAATAAAATGTATTTTATATACTTAGAGCTAAATAGCCAAGGCACTAAAAAGTGGTTCTGGAACCAAGGCGTTATCAAATCTGGCTCATGTTAGGCACTGCATTAAGAATGCTATATATCTCCCACAACGACTTCCAACTTATTAATCAGCTACAAAGGAAGTCCTTTATCTAAATTAACTATTCTCCGCAGAGTAGCTATGTTCAAAGAACTAATGTACAAAATGAGCAGAAAAACTGCCATCCACATGAGCACATATTGAAAGCTGTGACATTGCCAACATGGATTAGTATGCCTCATTACAATATATCTAAGATAGTTCAGGACTGGATGGTCCACAGCCCGTTACGTAGTATGATCTTGCTCCCAGAATGGCACTTATATGTTGTTTTAAGGGTAAACCATTAAAATAACAAATTAAAAATTGTTCATCCGTGCTCACTAAACCTTAGGCTTTAATCTCTCTTTTATAATCCTTTCTAAAGTCTCATAATACTATATAGTGAGAATGCCCAAATCCGACAAAACTGCAAAATTGAGTGGGAACATCAAAAATCTAAGGATCTCGTCTAAGAACTCAGTGAGATCATTAAAAAATCTCAGAATATTTGACAATCTTATTAAATACTAGATGACTGCATGTGGTTTACATGCTGAAATTGCAAGTAAGATTTAGGTAGGCAAATCCTAAGCATGCCACTTTTAGTTACAGACACTAGAAACAAAATAGACATGTTTAATTCATCGGGCAGCTGTCTTTATATATAGCAATAATAATAATAATATCTCCTCCAGAGCAACTGCTTTTCTTCATAACAAATTATTGTAGGGGCTCTGTGAACTATCTGGAATATACTGAACTCAAAGCAACTGTTTTATACAGCACATGGCTCCCTGGTTATATACATCACATTAATTAGCTGATCTAAACTCTTAAAACTTTTTTAGACTTCTAGAAAAACCAAAATATATGCCTGGAATGCTCACTATGACCTTGATTGTGATATACTTCTTGTTCTTCCACTCCTTTATCTACTTACTCTCTCTTTCATGCCTGCACAATTATTTTTCTTTTATCCTTCTGGCACAGTTGCTTTGGGAAGGAGAAAAAAAAAGCAGAGGCTGTCTTGATTCTGCCTCCCAACCTTTCTTTCTTGCACGCATAGTCAAGAGTGCCATTGACTGCACCTTTGTGCATTATGTGGTAGCTGTGGCTTCCCAGTATTTCACTCCCCTTATCTTCTATAGCACATGTGCACAAAGTAGCAACTGGATGAGCTGCTTCCTTTATCATTACTATCCTTTGGCACTGTCCGTGTCATGGAACTTTTGTGGAACACACACCTGCTTGTGGTGGCTCTGCTTTCACTTTTGTAGAAATGGGAAGAATAAAAAAAGCAGCATAAACCCACAACCCTGCGGGGAGGTGTCCTCTGTAGTTTTGGATACTTTTTCTTATTACATGGTAATTTCATTAAGAAAATTAGAGAGAATGCAAAAGTGACGTTCCAATGAAAATTTTCTTAAAATCATTCCCATATTGAAAAGCTTAGTGTCTGGCAAAGAAAAAGAAAACCTGGAGAGAGTTTTGGAATAGACAATGTTTACTGGAAAAATGATGGGGTGGAATCTCCAAATCATATGGTTACAATGCAAAAGCAACCAGAGTACTTGGAATTTCAGAGACAGAAATGGGCTCGGGCTTCCCCCTCCCTTTTCTAAGAGGTCAACAAAGAAACTTGATTGCATATGAAACAGCCCCTGTATCTATCAGATAAAACAGCTATCATAACAAAACTACTACGTTTTATTTCATTTCTAGGCATTACAAGACACCCCAGTCTGTTGAACTCTACCATATAGGACAGTGTATAGAATACAAATTAGAGACAAAAGTTTTTAAAAAGGAATTACATCAGTCCATAAAAAGATACCTACCATTCATATACTATAACATCACACAAGGCATTCATCGCTCATTCTGACCCAGGCCTGACGATAGAGCCAGGTTTTAAAGGATAGTTTAAATAGCACTGGAGGAGGTGGTTATACCTTTGGCCTGAACTGTGTACAGGTAGTCCTTGACTTACAACCACAATTGAGCCCCAAATTTCTGTTGTTAATTGAGATATTTTTGAGATGAATTTTGCCCCATTTTACCACCTTTCTTTCCTCAGTTGTTAAGTGAATGATAAGTTAGTAACCCAATTGTTAAGTGAATTTGACTTCCCCATTGATTTTGCTTATCAGAAGGTCACAAAAGGAGATCAGATGACCTCGGGACATTGGAATTGTCATAAATATGAGTCAGTTGCCAAGAGTCTGAATTTTGATGACTTGACCAAGTGGTTGCTGGAATGGTCCTAACAGTGAAAAACGGTCATGTCACTTTTTTTCAATGTCATTGTAACTTTGAATGGTCATTAAATGAACTGTTGTAAGTCGAGGATTATCTGTATCTGGGACATGTAGCTGTTTATCAAAACAGCTCCACACTGTGAATTATATTTACATTTGAGTAACTTAAGTGCACTAGTTAAGACTATAATTTCTGAAAATGGTTTAGAGTGGTTAACTCTGTACCCTACGTGAATGAAATCACGTAGTTTTATGAGATAGAATATTTTGTACCCAGCCCTAGAGGTTCTTCCCAGTGGAGAGTGGAACAGAATAACAGAGTTGGAAGGGACCTTGGAAGTCTTCTAGAATCTATCCAACATCCTGCTCAAGCGGAGACCCTATACCACTTCAGTCCAATCTCTTCTTAAAAACCTCCAGTGATGGCGCATCCATAATTTCTGAAGGCAAGCCATTCCACTAATTAACTGTTCTCACAGACAGAGGAGATCCTCACTTCCTCACTTCCTTAATCCTCAGGAGGATTCAAATAACACTCGTAGCTAGGAACATGTCCCACTAAACAGGATTCATTTTAGTACATCTGCACAGATTTGTAAAAAGATCTAGCAATTATGTGAGACTTACATGGAGATGGATCCACGAAAATTGGATCTATGTTATGAAGTATCTCCTTCCTGGGTGATGGTTTTCCTTCGCTGAAACAAAATTTATTATAAAATGATTCAATCTCCTTCCATAGTTCAACAGAATCCCATTCCTCCCACTTCAATGTTTCCTTTTAAGAAATAAAGGAATTCTTGTTAACCAATTTCATTTGCAAAGTTGCTCCTAAATAAGTTTAAAATAGTCTATGCCCCTTTCATTGCAGTGGGAAAAAACTTTGAAATAATAATCAAAGAGATTTGCATCAATCTCTTGTAATACAGTAAGCCAATTCAAGGAATTAAAAACACAGTTCTGGGTCATATCACACACTAAGATATAGTGCGAGATTTAAACATAATTTGTTCAATAACATAATATAAGTAAACCACTTCACCACCAGAGCCCTGGTGATGCAATAGTTAGAATGCAGAATTGCAGGCTAATTCTGCTGACTGCTAGCAGTTCGATCCTGCAATTTGGCAGCTAATCTTACCAAACTCAAGGTTGAATCAGACTTCCATCCCTCCAGGTCGATAAAATGAAGACCCAGATTGCTGGGGGCAATATGCTGACTCTCTAAACTTCTTAGAGGGGGCTGTAAAGCACTATGGAGCGGTCTAAGTGCTTTACAGCCCTCTCTAAGCACTTTAAGAGTCTAAAAGTCTCTAAAAGTGTTAGTGCTATTGCTATCAAGCAATAAGAAAAGTCATAGGAACATGATTGTTTGTTTGATTAATTGATAACTAGACTTTCTTCAAGGAATTCAAGGTGGTGTTCATTGCGTTCCCTCCTTTTATTCTTTCTCAGAACAATCCTATTGAGTAACATAGGCTGAGATAAAGTGACTTGCTGAAAGTATATATTTTGACTTTCTTCAATCCTAATCCCACTGATTAACCACTACAGCAGACTAGCCCAAGCCACTGTTTCTTCTCATTGCACTTCCAGCTGCAAAATCACCCTTCAGCAAACCAGATCTCTTTCTAAAACATCATTGGTGAGTTGGGTTTGTGGTTCAAACTCTAGGTGAGGAGATATGGCAGATGGGCAACCAAGCTATTCATTAAAACAGAACAGAAGTGGTCCTAGTATAGCATATTCACTATGCCCCTTGTAGAAACATGGAGCGATCTATAAATCTATGAGCTATTGCTACTGCTTTTTAAATGCTATATTAGCATTTTATGTTCATGATTTATAAACCAAAATGCCTAGATTCCTACGGCATGAAAATCTAAAATTGGAAACGATTAATGCAATATATCAATTCATTTTTGACAGCTGCAAGATGAAATTAAACACATACAATAAAACAAACCAACAAATCAAGACCTGGATTCATATTTAAAGCTGTTAAAAGCTGTTTTCTGAATAGTTCAAGGGAGAATCTTAGAAGACCTTTTCTGGGAAAAAGTTCCAAAGTTCCTGTGCCACTTACTGAAAAAATGTCTTATCCATGTTTTGCCTTACTGACTAGAATTCTCTTTTTGAATCTCAATCCTTAATCCAAGGGCTAATCATATAAAATATGTTCCAGAAGGTACCTAATGTATTCTCATTCTCTCTCTCCCTCTCCCAAACACTGCTGGAAATAGTGCGTCAGAAGACTGTGGCTCAGCATATGTGAGATTTAGTTTTACAGTACTCAGTTTATACAACATTGGTTGCTATGGTGTAATTTTATTTAGACAGCCTTGTTAGATCAGAATCTTCATTGGTCCACTGCACTTAGAAAAGTTCAGGGACACCAGCTGGCAGAGAATGCCCAATCATTCATAAAATATCATCCTTGCTTCAGATACAGAGTACCTAAAACATCCCCAGAGATGGTTGTCTGACCAAAGAGAATAACAAAAACCTTACCCTGGGGCAAGCAAAATAGTTTAAATAGCTCTAATAGAAAGCTGTTGTAAGTAACTGATGCATGACAGAATAAAGCAGGAAGTAGAGTGTGGTCAATTTCATGTACTTGGCCTTAATGCAAAACTGTAAAGGCAACAGATTTCTTTTCCCATGGAGGGATGTCTCCCAATAATCCCATATCCAAAATATATCTATGATACGTTTAAAAACTATCTATTAAAACTCAGCCATTGTATTTCAATAAGTTTTTGCTGAAACAATGTTAGGGTTACAAGTCATTTTATGCTGTCGATAGCTTGTTAAGCAATTATTATGTCTCCACATTTACTTCACAATTGTGAAAACCAGTTACTTTTCTACTATGACTGAATTAATCAGGTTACATTTTTAAAACTGTAAGTTCTCAGAGGAAATCCGTTTGTCCTGTAAAGTGTTATAAAGAGGAAATGTGGAAGTGAATACTTTTTCATCATCATCATCATGATGCCATTTTCAAGATACTTTGTTTTCCCCACATTTGCTGTTTAAAAGTCCCGATGAACAATTTCCCTTCATGTCCTATCCAATTTTGTTCAACATCTCTTTTGCTTTAACAACATATAAACATTTTATGAATAGACTTTTTAACAAATTTACTTTAAAAACCTCCTTTTATATTATTATCATAATATATATTTTAGAAGTATACTTTGCTTCTTGGGCTTCATCAAATTCTGCTTCAAGTATATTTTACCTGATTGTTTTCCAGACATCAGAGCCATCTAAAGGCTTTGTGCCATTGGAATGTCCTCCAGCAAGCTTCACCAAAGTTGGCAGCCAATCAGAAATGTGGATCAGGTCATGGCTTTCGACTCCTTTCCGTTTCAATAAAGGACTGGCAACGAATCCAACTCCTCTCACTCCTCCTTCCCATAATGTCCACTTTCTTCCTCTTAAGGGCCAGTTGTTTCCACCTCCCAGAGTTTGGCCTCCATTATCTGAAATAATTTAACAATATATGTGACTGAGCTTGAAAATATTTTCTCATATACTGTAAGTGTATGTAATATTTTATGTGCGAAGCAGAACGTTGGACAGCCAACTTACCCCATCTCATTCTATGATTCAGTGTAAATATTATTACTATATTAGACTGACGTTCTCAATAGGAAAATAGAAGGCTGCATTTTAATAGGGAGGGCCAAGAGTTCAACACATTGGGTCACATATTGCTCTATTGCAAATGGGTATTACTTTTGGTTTTGTTTGGAAGTCTGAACCCATGAGCCATGGTTTGTATATCTCAGTTTATAGCTTAATTTTATAATACCAATCCACTGCTGTGTAATCAACAAACCATAGTTAAATACAGTGACGTGCGGTGAACTTTATGGCTGGTGAGGCAGCTTTTTAGACTTGTGGACTTCAACTCCCAGAATTCCACAGCCAGGCATGCTCAGTTCCGATTTAAAGCGACAGCATTTTTCCCCCTTGCAAAATAAGTTTTCCCATTTTTTTCTTCTCCCTCCCCTCCTTCCTCCCTCTCTCCCCCCTCTCTCAAATAGACACACGCACAAAGAGAAGTTGGATCCCTCTCTCACTCACTCACTCTCAAACAAACACAAACACAGAAGTTGGATTGGATATATTTCCAAAGGCTTGAAAGCAGCTCCTCTGCCATACCCCCCCCTTCCCTTGCTGCCTTCCGATCGGAACCTTTGATTGCAGGTGAATCACGTTGCCTTTTTCAGTGAAGCTGGGCTTATATACTTTTATCCAGCTCTGTGTGTGTGTGTGTGTGTGTGTGTGTGTGTGTGTGTGTTTGAAAAGGCAACGTGGTTCTGCATGCAATCAAACATTTTGAATTTCTCCCCCCTCCCCACACACACACCTTTTCCAGCTGTTTCAGAGAGGATTTCAACTCTGCCCTCATGAAAGGCCAAAGCTCTGAGTCAGACTGAGCTAGTTGCTCCCAGAGAACTCTAAAAAGCCTCTAAAAATGCCCTCTACAGGAGGCGAGAGAACACGTGCCTCCTTTGCATATGAATTTTTTTGCTTTTTAACCCTTGCTTAACTTTTAAAAGGCGAAAAATTGCTTATGCACAGGAGGCCCCTCGTTCTCTGGCCTCCTCCTATAGTTAACACTAAGCACTGTTCCAAGTCACTGTGACTTGGAATCTGGCAGCAACTACCTTGGCTTTAATTATTTTTAAAAAATTCTTTTAAATTCTTTCGTTTTCCTCATGACTGGTGAGGCCATGCCTCCCGTGCCTCTAGTTACTGCAGGTCCCTGGTTAAATAAATAACGGTTTATACAATATGAATCAAACAGATAACATGGAATAGTAAAGAAAGAATCAGTCCTCAGACTCTCCGGTGAAAGCAAAAATTCCTGGCTTCAATTTCATAAGCAGTTATCATCGAAAAAACAGTTGTAACTCAGAATAACAGAATACCCTTTGGGATTACAAAGTAGGGAACATGATTAAAACCTTGGATAGGTGCTCTGGATCTATATAAATAATATGATGTAAACTAAATGGATTAATCGCCTGACTGAATAAGAACTGTGTCCCTTGTGAGGCAACTACGGGTACCAATGTGTTGATGAACAGCTCTCTACGATGCCCATCATCTTTTGTGTTTCACTTCTATTCCACGTTTACTTTCTTTAAATTTAAAACAAAAATTAAACACAAAACTGTGTGTATTTCAGTCTAGACTCAAAACCACTTAAAATTAGTTGTTTTGTTCTGGAGGTTAGATTGGCCTCATTCCTATCAGCCTGTTATAAGGAATTAAATACATAATTGTGTCATCAAGCCTATAGAACTGGATGTATGGCAGATATGTGCAATTTTTATGTTGATTTGTTAGTTGTTTTTTAACCTCTGCTGCTGATTATGTGTGTAATGTTTTATTGCTGTATTTTAATGATGTTTTTTAGGTTGTTAGCTACCAAGAGTCATGAAATTGAAATATGCAGAAATATAGATTGAAATAATAAATTCATAATATTCAGTCCAGATATCAAAGCCAGCTCCATTAAGATTTATATTGTTCCCTTTTCCCTTAGCTTTAGAAATACACAATGCATCCATTATTTCCTTTATTTCATACATTAACTAATGCTTTTACCATTTATTCCTCTTGTTTTCCAAGTCACAATACTCTCCATATGTTGTGGTTGCCAACAGATGAGCCTGCAAAGCTTTGGTCAACTGAGGCTTGCACAAAATGGTTTTTAGCATATTAAATGGGAGAAGAGTCTAAGATATTAGCTTTAGTAGTACTCAAGTCATATGCCCATAAAACTGTAAACAGGCACTTCATGTGACCAACTGGCCATCATGCCATTTGCTGGAGTTTGTGTATAGTACTAAGCCTTAATTTGGTGAAAAAAACCCACATTGGATTGGTTTTACAAAATACATTAAGCAATCCCTCTGGTCTACAAGTCATTATGGTGAGATTTTCAAATCATACTATATACCAAATTATGGACCAGTTCAATGTAACAGCAATTCAAACCTATAAGTATGCATTTGTTCAGCTTTTCTGCAAGGCTTACTCTTTTTACAGTGCCATATTGAATATGTAATAGTTAAACTGTAGGGTGAAGATACCTACCGACTTTGGCTCCATATGGCAATTACAGAGTTTCTGTTTCAATACATAACCAAGGAGTCTTTTATTTTAATATGCAGTAACAGAAGTAATGAAAATCATTCCTTCTTTGGCTATTGCAGGAATAAGAATTGCTGATGCATTAGCTCTGTCAGCTGAGTATAATTCAGTACAAACTATGTGCACACAATGTACTGAGGAACACTGGATGAATAATGATACACTGACTTGGAGAGCCAACTTTCACAGTTAGGATGACTGCTATTGCAAGTTTACTGTACTTTATGAAATTATTGAGAAATGACTTGTAAATCTTTCAAGCAGAAAGTCTCCTCTAAAATATTCCTAAATATTATCCTATGATGGAAAGACATAGGCTTAACCTGAGACAAAAATTGTAGACATGTCTTAATCTTAAACATATTGGCTGGTACAAATATGCACCGATGATGTGTGTGAAAAAACCAGCAACTTTCATATTCACTGTGTGTAATTAATTTTGTGTAAAAGAAGAAAAAAGCTTCTGTGGGCAACTTGATTTTCTCATGCCACGTTCTTCTGCACAGTACATGAGTGAGGCAAATTTATTTATTTGACTAATTTATGTAGCTGCTCTACATATATAGTTCTTTTCCGAACGCAAAAGTACATGTCAACCAAATTTTTGGAAGGAAAGTCCACTGATTTCAATGGAATTTACTATCACACGTTTATTTAGGAATGAAGCCAAAGACTTGTATTTGTTGCCAAAACCTTGTATCTACTGAATGAATACTCAAATGCTGCAAAATTGTGTCTGGTGTGTGTGTATATGTGTATAACACTGAAGGAAGTTTATCTTGACTGTTGAATGCACTGTTTGGGCATTCCCCAAAGCCTTTTGAAACATTATGTTCTTTCAGAACAGGGTTTACTATTCGATTTTTTTAAACTTAAGGATCTAATTGAGATGTATATTTATAACATCTTCAAAAGGGCCAAGGAGGAAATGTGGCCACTTTTATATACTTTTGCAGATGTTAGGTAGGAACTTCAAACAAACAAAGAAATCTCACTATCTTATAGCAACCTGGGGAGGAAAAAACTAATCACAATGAAAAAGCTGGACAGATACAATTTTTGTCAAGGCTGAAGAAAATCCAAAACCTCTTTTGCTGTAACAGTTACGACAACTATGCCTTTCCTGTTTGTGGATCAATGTCAGTATTTCTGCTTTCATTTTACACATTAGAAAGCAAGGATATCTGGGTATAAGTGGACTAAAAAGTCAAATTGGTGGGCAGAACTGCATATCTGAAGCTGTGCCCCGTTTTATGTGCATCATATGTATTACACAGATTTTTTTAAAAGTCCAGCCGTAGCCACCAGATCGATTTCCTCTGAGAAGACCAATGGTTTAGCATTAAGATGTGCAACAGAAGGCTCATTTCCAATTGTGGCCAAACAGGCCCTTCAGGGAATGAGCCTGATTCCTAGCAAGGCAGCACTGCAGGGGAGCAGTTCCTTTTAAATAAATAAACAGACAAATATAAGCTGAACCCCACACTCTATTCCTTCCATCCGAATATACTTTGGTCTGGTAAGGTTTGGCAAGGGAGGGGGGTGGTGAGGGAGGGGAGAAGAGAGATGGAGAAAGGACCCTCTCTATGGTTGTACTTAGGGCTTGGGAATGACTACCGCCCCTCTCCCCAATTTACTTGAGGTGGCAGGCTGGGGCTGCATATTGTCGCCTATTCGACAAAATATAAACAAAGCAATCTGAGCTAATTCAAGCAGGATCAGGATATGGCTGGAAAGGCTTTACAGGGGGGAGAATGGGGAGTGAAAGGGGGGGGGGGGAGGCACAGGGGGCAAACAATGGCTCTGTGAAGCCGAACAGCAGCTTGGACAGGAAGGCTCTGGAGACAGGCTGGCAGACAGCTGTCAGCCATTCCAACAACATTTCCTGCAGCCAATGAAAACTGGCCAGGATCTAACCTCCCGAGCCAGCTCAGGAACACCAACAAAGGATTAAACGTTTCAGCATTAGCGGCCTGAGTGTCATGGACATAATTCAGTGTCAGGGATATTCTGACTGCACGTGGCTTCTTTTTCCCCTTCCTCTCCTTGCCCTCCCCCATTCACAAATAAAGAGCAGCTGCAATTAAAGTACCGTATCTGCAAAACACAGGCCCAAAGCCAATACACTGGCTTCATTTACTGTGAATTGCAACTGAGTTCAGGCAGTCAGACGTACAGTATGTACATCTGTTTTGCAAATCAGTCCTCTCCCAAGAGTGACATGTGTTTTTAACCATTAAAGAAGCAATAATGGACACCAGACCAAAAACAAAATTAAATCTTTGTATCTAACTGTTTTAAAATCGACCTA